AAGACCACCATAACCATCACCAAAAACTCAAGAAGGTGGATTGGGCCTGTAGTGACTGAGTAGATTATGACAGATTTGCCAATGAGAAAAGGCAGTTTCTTTCTCCCGAAAAGGGTCCAGATATCAGTTTCCTCAGAGCCTGCTCGAGCTCCTGGTTCCTCAGGCTGTAGATGAGGGGGTTCAATGTTGGAGGCACCACCGAGTACAGAACTGACAGGGCCAGATCCAGGGATGGGGAGGAGTTAGAAAAGGGTTTCAGGTGGGCAAATGCGGCAGTGCAAATGAACAGGGAGACCACAGCCAGGTGAGGGAGGCACGTGGAAAAGGCTTTGTGCCGTCCCTGCTGAGAGGGGATCCTCAGCACAGCCCTGAAGATCTGCACATAGGAGAAAACTATGAAAATGAAACAGCCAAATGATAAACAGGCACCAACCACCATAAGCCCAAATTCCCTGAGGTAGCCTGAGTGTGAGCAGGAGAGCTTGAGGATCTGGGGAATTTCACAGAAGAACTGGTCCAAAATATTGCCTTGACAGAGAGGTACTGAAAATGTATTGGCTGTGTGCAGCAGAGCATTGAGAAACCCAGAGGCCCAGGCAGCTGCTGCCATGTGGGCACAAGCTCTGCTGCCCAGGAAGGTCCCGTAGTGCAGGGGTTTGCAGATGGCAACGTAGCGGTCGTAGCACATGATGGTCAGGAGGGAAAGCTCTGTTGTGATAAAGAAAAGAAAGAACCAGAGCTGTGCAGCACATCCTGTGTAGGAGATGGTTGTGGTGCCCCAGAGGGAGTTGTGCATGGCTTTGGGCACGGTGGTGCAGATGCAGCCCAGGTCTGTGAGGGAGAGGTGCAGCAGGAAGAAGTACATGGGGCTGTGCAGGTGCTGGTCACAGAGTATGGCAGTGATGATGAGGCCGTTGCCCAGGAGGGCAGCCAGGGAGATGCCCAGGAAGAGCCAGAAGTGCAGCAGCTGCAGCTCCCGTGTGTCTGCAGATGGCAGGAGGAGGAACTGGGCCATGGAGCTGCTGTTGGGCATTTGCTGTCTCTGGATATGGGGCACTGAAAGTATGAAAAATCACTGCAAATTAGGGCAGACTTTGCAGGCAAAGTGAGTCCATTTCTTACAGAATTTTGCCCCCCAAGACAAAATGGATGTCCATCCTCTGGTTGAGGTGTGAAAAGGTCCATCAGCTCTCAAGGAGGAGGTTTTGTGCTGCTGCTGGGAGTACATGGAGCTGGATTCTGACAGCTCTGCTGTTCACATGTCAGATGTAATCCATCTTTAATAAAAAAGTTCAGTTTCTATACTCATGACTGGCAAGAGTGTGGGCTGTAGAAGAGAGGTTTAACATATGCTTAGTATAATTCTGTCTGTATTTTTTTGTTTTCTAACACCGTATCTGGTCGG